AATCCTTTGTCTCCTAGCATATTTTTGGGAGACCAGACAGGGAGAGTGTCTGCATCATGAGTGGGAGAAGTAAATGAGTCACAGTTCTCTTCATGAGGAGCTTTGTTTCATTCAAATCCCCCTTGCCAAGATGCTGACACTGAATTTGAGTCATCAGCAATAAACAAGTCATACAGAAAATTGAATCTTTAGAGGGCAGAAAATCATGGGCAAAGGAAAGGCACTCACCGACGAGCTCTCTTAGGCCGTGCTTGTGAGGAGTTATTGATTGCGTTATTTCCCATGGCGGATTTTTCCATGAGTGCCTTAAGCTAATTCAAAGTCCTAGTCTGAAATTTCATTTTGAGACATGCATGTGTAGTGAAAACCAGCAGCATCAGTCAGGCTTCGAGATCACCCAACACGAAATTGAGTTTTCAGTGCACTAAACACGAAGATTGTAGTCCCGGTTTTGTAATTAGCTTTTCACCTGTGCTGTATCCTAAAAGACTGAGAGCAGGAAGAAGTACTGGCATCTTCTAGGAAAAAGGGAAGATTTGGTGAAATTTATCTTGCATAGAGTTTGGTTTAAGTGGTTTTTTTTTCTGTTTAATGCAGTTATCTTTTGCTTGAATATATTTGCTTAATATACCATTGTAGCAGTCCACCAGGACTGGACGTGTTTGTGTTCAGGAAGTGAGAATAGATCAGCTAATGCGTATTTTAATTGAAAAGGGAACTTTTATGCTATATTGACTTTAAGCATTTTGCTTTCATGAAAGTAGCACAGCACCTTATTGGTGCCAGATTTTCTAACCACTCTCAGCTTTTAAATTTTAAATACTTTAAAGAAGGGTGGTAATGTACAGATATTTTTCATGTGGAAGTATTTTCTCATTTAGTAGCCTTCCCACCAACAAAACGCTAAAAAGTCAATATTTGCTGATTACCTAAAATGTACCTTTTATTATTTTGATTTTAAGCTGTGATTGCACGATCAGTCTAGGGCATGGCATATAAATGGATGGAGCTGACTCATGGAGGGCCAGGAAATGGGGTAGGATAATGGGAATGAGTTCAATATTTACAGGCATTTCTTACTGCTCAAAATGCCTTGTGAAACGTGGAGTGTCCCGAGGGGCTCTCTGTACCTGGAGCTCCTTCCTTGCTTGTGGTGAGTCTGTGTGCTGTGGTTGCATTGCTCTGACCTGCCTCCCCCGGCTTTACCTTTGTAAAGAGGCAGAAATCCAGCACTGCTGAAAGAAAGAGAAAAAGACAGTAATTTTTCAAAGAAGATGAAGGATATAATGCAGACAGCAGCAGTTGTGGTGAGCATAGTCGAGTGAACTTACACTGCAACGTGGCTTTGCTAAATATAGCTACAAAATACTTGCTGTCTGTGAGCGCCGATGTGGGAGAGCGTTGCCATCTGCACCTCAGGAGGCTGCGGAAACAGGGGCACAAATCACAAATGGAGAAAGGGAATAGGATTATGGAGCCAGAGCCCTGGTCCTGTACTCGCTCAGCTGGGCACCCTTCTCCCTCGGAGGGCTGGGTGGGCGTTCATTTGTGCTCTCTTTTCATTGCGAAAGGGTCGTTGTCCCTCTTGTGCCTGAAGAGACTCTGGAAGAGCAGAAATATGGAATGAAGCTGTGCTGTGGGGAAAGGATCAGCGTAGTGCATGGCTGTTGTTCAGCAGTCTTTGGCAGTCAGTTTTAACTGTGGATGGGGAAAAATGCCCCTCAGATGGTGGAAACCTATCAGATCACCAGTGGAGGTGAGGAGGAAAAGGGCGACATCTCCAGACAAAATAAACTTGGAGAATGCTGATGCAAAGATGAGGCTGAAAACACTGACTGTGGTGAATGCAGCCTGGGAGGAAAAGAGTGAGGAGGAGGAGGAGGATGAGAAGGAGGAAGAGGAAGTCCTGGGGCCCAGCTGTGGGATGAAGCTGAGAAGCAATGGAGCAGGGCAGAGTGTTGGGGAGCAGAGCCAGGGCCAGGGGATGGACCACCAGGAGTGGACCCAACTGAAAAGGGGTTTATTCCTCGTGTGATACTTGTAAAATTACTGCATTAGTTTGCAAAGGAATGAAAGACAGAGACCAAAGGTCTTAACGTTGTGTTTAAAAACATGAAATGAGCGAATGGTAATTGATGGTGGAAGCAGAGTTTAAGCTCACCTAACTTTTGGAGCACTGTATTCAGTATAGATTAGGAGCTTACACATCGAGTTCAACATAGCTTTGAAATGCAATAGCTTTGTATAAATTGTAATAATGTTTTAATGGCTAATCAGTTATTGTTTGTATTCTGAAGTCAAGTCTACCTAAAAAAATATGAATTAGTACAAATACCAGTAATCCTGATAAAGAAAGTGGTTTTGTGTACTTCTCAGGCTGTACGATACAGTTGACTTCCTTCCACCTCAGAATGGTAATAGTGGTAGTACAATGAAAATTTGGGTCATTTTCTGTTTTGCTTTTACATGCGTTTTGGATTTGCTTATCAGGGTAATGATAGACATGATTAGAGAGAGATTAGTGATAATTTTAATTTTTTTGCTGTTTGCTCCTGGGAATTGAAATATTTTCGTATTCAATTGACTCCAGAATCATGTTACTGATGTTCATTTGGGCTGGGGCAGGAGTCACTGTTGTTCCTTCTCAGAATTATTCCTTTGTGTGGTGAACTTTGGACGGGAGAGTCTGGATGCTGATGTAAATGAAAACTTACTGACAGGAGACAACGCTTGGTAGTTGTCCTTTGCACTTCGGTGTCAAAGAACTTGCTTGTACTCTGCATTTCTTCCCATTAAGGGCACTACATGTTTAAAAACCAGCGGAAGACACTTCCATTGCAGGAATGGGTGCAGGCACCGTGGGTAAAGTCTATAATGTGTAGCTTGCGATACCGATTTGCATGTATGTGTGCTGCCATGTGTGAGGAAGAGTAACCGATAGTGAAACACCTTTTGTTAATTAAGTTTCATATTGAAAATGGCACCGACAACTTGCCCATACCACAGCGGAGCTCTGGTTGTCCACAGGATACCTCTGTCCTCCTTTCAGAGAAACAGTAAACTCATAAATCACATTTTTACGCAAATTAGGATGTGTCTGGAATGTGTAAGGACTTGGTATGGATGAGCGCAGTAAGTTAATGGCAGTTTGTTTAGCAGAACTTTAAAAGAAACATCAGTTCATTTTTTATCATTTTCAAATTGAAATGAACACATTTTTTTCATTGAAGCATTTTAGTGAAGTGGTACCTGTAGTTCCTGGCTGGTTTGTGAGGAGCTGGTGATTACAGTGGAGAGGGAGCCTGTTTCACCAGTTTGAACGCATGCCAGAAGAACGTAAGATGGGCGGAAAAGGGCTTGAAGAGTCAGTGGGCTTGAACTTTAAAGGCTTAGGTCCTCTTGCCAAGTCGGCCACTTCTTCCCTGGGCACATGTGGGACAGTTATCATCTGAAGTGCTTCACTCTCACTTTCCTCATTTAAAAACACAGATATTTTAGTTGACTTCTTTTGTGGAGCAGTTTGAGATACGATGGAGAAGAGGATAGGTGTTATTTTAAGCACTGTTTTTTAACCGGGGGTGAGAGGTTGGCTCAGGACACTGGCAGAGAGGTTTGGAGGATTTTGCCTCCTTACTGCGTATTGGAACCATCCCAATAAAAAGGTTTTCACTGAGCAACAACGTTTGAAGGTGTTTTTGTGTAGTTATCGATCTCAGACCAGCCCACAGGAAGCTGTGTCTGTACGTTGGTGCTGATTTAGCATCCGTTTACCAGAGTGCCTGGGGCTGAAACGAGTGTGCAGTCCCCGTGGCCGATGCTCTCCTCATGGGAAGGCTGAACACGGACACGCGTTGCTGTATCTCGCTGAGCACTGCTCCCAAAGCTGCGCTGCTTGCTGTGGTTCCTGCCCTCCTCAGCCCTCAGACGTGTACAAACGCACAAGTCCAGGGTCGCAGCTGAACTTGAACTGCAGGAGAAGTCTCACAGTAGCAGATTTGCCTATTGGAAGGGCAGGGAATGTGGTGTTACTTCAGAAATCTTAAAATTGTGAAACCTATCACATTTTAGCATCCAGCATAGCTTGGATGTATTTAATACATACTTATATGTGTGAGCATTTGGAAAGAAGAATCTGAGTATTTGAAATATATTTGAACAAGTACTTTCATCACTGAAGATAGGTCTAGAGCTCCAGAACAGGGACTGTATTGCAACTTCAGTGCCAAACCTCTCCTGCAAGCTCTCTAGTAAGACTAAAAATACATGGTTTGTTCTACATCTCTGTTTACCCATCGCTTTCTGTTAGGAAACCTTTACAGAAAAATGGTTTTTTATTCTTACATTACAAAGGTTACCTGAGGAAACTGCAGACGCAATGAAGGGTCACATTAATTGAAATTAATAAAGTCAAACATCTGTCTCCAAATTTTTTTGAGGTTTAATTGAAAAGTCAGACAAAGAATCTTTATGTTACTGTTTTGTAGCGGTAGATTTGTTTTGTTCCTCTCAGTACTGCTTAGAAATCAGCTAAAACATTTATATTGCAGAAATGATATAGCAGCAGTTTTAAGTCTTTTGTGCCTTACATGCTTGATTAGAAAAATCCCATTAATGACAGAAAATGCTAATCAGTGATGTGTTTTGCCAGCCACCGCAGGCCCACGCACTCTGTGTAATCCATTGTTTATTATTATCCTAATGAAGGTCATTGTCGCCTTTGAAAGCTTGTGTGACAGCATCTCAAAACGGTTTTAAAACTCTGTGCCGCTGGACCCTGGTGCTGGGATCAATCAAGGCCGGGTATTTACTTGTCAGGACGGCTCTGGCGTAAATGAGGTTTTTTGGGTGGAACGTTCATACTGTGCTTTTCATTTGCTCGTTCTGATTGTCCAGACAGACAAACTGTGCGGTGGTGGCTAAGCCGCTGGTGCTGCCGTTAAGCAGCCAGACGCTGTCTTTATCCACACCTTATTGATTTTCCTTTGCTTTTCTTGGCAGGTGACATCACACAGAAGGGATATGAAAAGAAGAGATCAAAATTAATTGGGGCCTACCTGCCACAGCCTCCCGGTACGTGTCTCTGTGCTTGCGATATATGAAGATGTCAAGTGTACTGATAGTTGCCGCAGTAAAAATCTACATCTTGAGGATTTAAGTGTGGCAGAAACAAAGCTACTGTTATGCAGAAAAAGCTTATTTCATCCATTTCATGTATATTTTTCTATATATGTCCGCTTTGATGTGTGTGTACATTTTTTACATACGTTGCTGTGGGTTTGGCAGTCATGTCTGGAAAATAAAGTCAGCCTAGGCTTGTTAGAGAGGTATTGTTTGTGAGAAGTAATGCAGAAACAGAGGAAAATGTGATGTCGTAACTCATGAAGGCCTCAGCCAAGTAAAGCTTTCTGAGCAGAGGTATAAACAAGAGTGAAAGAGAACCTTGGAGCTTTGTACCTTCCTCCATTCCTGGGTTTCCTGTCCAAATCTTCCTTTTGAAGACACTAGAGAGACCAGCAACATCCCTGAAGTTCAGCTTGTCCTGTAACACGTGGGCAACTGATCCTTTATACGTACCTGGTCTCAGCGTTGAGGGATGGGTTGCATGTATTTGCCCAAAAGGCGTAAAAATGTCTTCAAACTAAATATAATAATGTAGTGCTTCACTGAAATTATTTCATATATATATATGTAAAAACCCCTCAGAGTTCTTTCACTCTTCTGAGGCATCAGCTCATGACGTTGAAGATGTAGTTGTAGGTATTGGTGTAGGTCTCCATATTTTGTGGGCCTCAGAGGAGCGTGACCCACACGCTCGTGCCATCTCACCGCATGGAGGCTCCCCTTGGGCTTGGCTGTCCTGAGCCCTGTTTTTATTACGGGCCTGGGAGCAAGTTTCCTCCTTATTTTACAAAATCCTACCTTTACGGTGGAGTTGATGATCTTCTATTTAAACTGCCCACGTGTGTAGGCGCTGCCTTGTTCTCTCTTCTTCAGGTGTGCGTAGATCAGCTGGCTCCATTGCAAAGTGGTATTGCTGTGCCTTTGGATTTCACTTGGTCTGCTCCACTGCCGGGAACTCCACAAAAGAGATCAGTGTTATGGACACCTCTGTTTCCTGAAGTGATGCAGCTGGATTTGAGGGTGTCTGTGACATTTCCTAACCATTGGGAGCCATTAGAGAATGAAACAAATCAAACCAACAGAATAACAATACCAGAGGTGCAGTTATTAAATTTCTGAGTATTTATTGGTCTGAGCAGGCTGTCAGACATACAGTGGTCTTCACAGTACGTTCTCATGAGACCTGCTTGGGTTTACTGGGTTATGGAGAGACTGCTGTCTCACAGTAATCCTCAACACAGCGGTGTGGTTGGTACCTCTGTGTGTTCATACAGTTGTGTATTTTTTTCTTCACACAAGAAAATACAGCTCTTTTTTTCCAGAAAGCTCGTAGGCTTCTGGTCAAACCGTATCCATGGCTGAAGCTGCTGGGGGTTCCCAGTGCACGTAATGATGAACAGTAGAAGGGGAAGAACCCTCCAGGGTCTCTGTTTGATATTGAAGTTTTCCAATTAAGGAGAAGCAGAGGAATTTCTGTAAGCCAGTCCTATAGTGGGGTCCATTCAGTAATTTGAAGAGGTCATGACTGAGGACCTAGCTGATTTAGGGCTGTTTTAAAGATGGGGTGAAACAGAGCGAACATTTTCTGCTCTGCCACTTCCCAGAAAATCCTGCACTGGGAGTGTGGGCTGTGGATGAGTGAAGGAAGATTATAGTAGGATGAAGAGGAAAAGCATTGAAATACTCTCTGCTCTTTTCTTGTACGTACATCAGGCTCAATCGTTTAGCTGATGGCTAAATGAATTATTTTTGTTATAGTGGAAGACACTGCTTCTACTGTATTAACTTATTTTCCTCCAGAATCTGATAATTATTTGTGCTTGGATCTTTGCTGTCCTTGTACTTCTTGTTTGTTTTGTTGTGTTACCTTTTGGACAGAATTTAAAACAGTTCAGTTTGCTATTCTCCTTCTGAGACTTTACTCATCTGAACGGCTTGAGATCCCTGCTCACTAGGAAGGGGGAGATGAATCCTTTCCAAGAAGAAATAGGATATCAAAACAGATGCTGCCTTTTGTAAGCCTCTGTTAATATCTGAATAATCACATGCGTGACCAATTAGTCATTTGGGGTTTTTTTGCTGTAATCTGTTTTGATGGGGAACTGCAAGAATTTACAAGCTTTGGCAGTCTTGGATCTTGCTGTTAAAAGGGAATAGATGTTTTAGAGGTATTTTTAAACAGCATGGAAATGGACATGGCTCTTTCACTGGGATTGGAGGCATTGGGGAAGGACAGGGGTTTGCATTCTGTGTTGGCCTTCAACAAACTAAAGGAAATCCAAAGGCAGTTCCCCTCTGCTGGGACATCCAGTCCTCCCGCTGCACCTTTGCTAACATAACTAACGCCCATGTTGGCAGAGTGGAACATGGACCTGCATCGGCTCCGTGGGTGTCCTGTGGTGTCTGTGCGTGCGTGTGCGTGTGTGCTCTACTGCATGGGGGCAGCAGCTCCACTCGTTGCTGTAACAAATGTAAAAAAACTAAACGTGAATTAATTAGTTTTTTTCAACTTGTTACAGCAGCGAATGGAGCTGCCGCGGTACGGTGTAGACTGCAACACAGTGAAGGAGCTGCCAGAAGAATGCTCCGCACTGCCAACATTGGTGTCTGTGACATCCGGGAAGCGGCCGCTAGAGAGCGAGCAGCCAGCACGGCAGGAAACCGGCCTCTCTTTTATTTTCGTTTTGGTGAGCACAATGAATGTATCTTTTCCAGTCCATATCTGTCTGTAACTGTGCCTCATCTGGAAGCCTCTGGTAGACACCTACGTCGATGTGCTAGACTAGGAACTGCCTGTGACGAGGCAGGACAACCAAAGGGCGACATCTGGAAGGCCGTTACCGACTTTTGTCTGCCTAAGAGTGAAGTGATGGGAAGGGGGAAGGAATGGTCCTTCTCAGTAATGTTGAACATGTTGGCCTCTCTCTAGTTTCTGTACTGTGGAGACTTTGGAGGAGGTTTCATACAATAAGCTGGCGAGACACAGGAAGCAATTGGGGAAGGGCAGGGATTTGCATTCTGTGATGGCCTTCAACAAACTCAAAGAAATCCAAAGGCAGTTCCCATGTGTGTCTAATTCCCTTTCTGGCACTGCCTGTTTACAGAGCTCTGGACAGGTCCAGGCTCACCAGAATCCGGAGGAAGCTGTAAAAATCTAAGCACCCTAATTCTGTGCTATTTCCACGTAGAGATCTCCGCCTGGGCTGTGCTCGCATCCAAACCATGCAGAAGCAGGCTGACTTTTATTTTAGGAAGAGGCATCAGGCTAGGGGAGCAGACTGGCGGGAGAACATTCTGCAGGGCCACGTGTCTGCAGTGTGGACCAGCAAGGCCTGACCCCGCCGTGCCACCGTAGCTGTGCCCCTCAGCAGGTACCTGTCCTGCCCTCTGGCGTGACCTGTGGCTGGTGGCAGGCAGGCTGTTCCGACTCCCTGCGTTTGTAGCAAGGGGATCCACAGAGGATCCACAGCCCCTCAGGACACCAGATTTTCTCCTGCCAATCATGTGGGCATGTGTAGGACATCACATTCTTGCCCGTGTGCTTGTCCATGCTCCCACAAGGCAGTCTAGACGTGGTGTGAGAGATGGCTTGAGGGAAGATAAGGTCTGCAGTTCTGTCAGGACAAGTCATGCCTATAAAAAATGATCCCTTTGAGACACGCTTCCCCCCTTATTTTCAAACCAATTTGCTGTAATACTATAGAGGAGACCCGTATTGAATTCTGACTGTGGTGGTTGCGTTTCTCCTCTTACATGAAGCTGCTTTAAGTCAGGTATCCTCAGTCTGACATGGTTAACTTCCTCTGCCCAAGATTTTTGCAAAATGGGAGTGATTGAATTTAAATTGCAATGTCAAGTTTTAACAGAATTAATGATTCAGAATCACGTAAGTGCTAAAGGTAGGCAGTAGATGTGTTGGTTATAGACAAATATAAATATGCATACATATATGATCTTTTTGTTGTGCTCATTGGGATGCTGTCATTTTAGAAAGGGAAAGCTGTTACTTTTCAGGAATGGGATTAATGAAGGGTGAAGCTGGGCAGCCGCGTGATTGATGCTCTACCAGGTGATGTGAGAGTTCACTCTTGGGTTCCCTGTTTTTGACAGGGCAGTCCCAGCGAGCGTGCTGTCACATGTGCCATACAGCGAGCCTGCCACATGGGCAACGTGCGGGATCCGCTGCACATCTGCAGGTTGACTCCACAGTGCATGCACGAGAGGGCTGACACATCCAGATGCTGCACAGACTGCACATATGCAGAGGACATTTGGACTGTTCCAGCCGCGCTGTCGAACATCCAGAAATCCGGAACGGATGTGCTGCGTTTGGCAGTGCTAATGGGAGAAGGGACAGGGGGAGCCCCCGTTTTCTTTCCCATTAAATCCCCACCTGCTTTAACTTAGGGAGACAAAAATACGGCTTTGTTTCCTGAAATCGCTTTCTCAGGATGTCAGTTTGTAGCTGGAGATGTTCTGGGCTCAGAGTAGTTTTTCTTTTCTTGGTGTGCCCCTATGTCAGACATCTAAAAATAGAAGTGAATCCGAACGTTTATATCTGTACGTATATCCCAGTCTCTTGTGCTGTGACCTTTCTCGTCCTGCTTCTGTAGAGGAGCCGTGACAGCCAAGAGCTGAAGGAATAACCACTTAAATGGGCATTTATTTCAGAATGTCTTTCTGAAGATTATCTTGATTAGATCAGTCCATTCTGGGTAAGATAACATGTGGACAGCTGTGTGAACGCTATTAAGAGAAACCCTCCCTAGAAGAACAGTAACTCAATTACCTGCGTCTCCCATAAGCTCTGTTTTTGCCCAATTCGCTTCCAGTCTTTTGCCAGGAAATTTGATTATTCATTCACAGAACAGAGACGATGTTGTTATCAATTAAGCTTTACTTCTAACAGCTTAGACATGGGTGGTTCATTCTCTCTTAATCAAGTGCTGTGTCTACTCTAGATTACTTTCTGTAATTTCCCAGTGTAACTCCATTTGTAGTGTAACCATGTAGACCAGTCAACAGTGCTTTATTTATTGTGGCTGATGAACCTGGGAGATGTGGTGTTTCAAAGGCACCTGCTGCTCGGTGCACAGGCCTGGAGACACATCACTGCCTCTTCTGCTGCCGGTGCCCCAGCAGCACCAGCACAGGGAGGTTTTGAGCTGCGCAGTGCAGAGCAGATAATGCATCAGCACAGAAGATCCCTGTCTGATGAAGAAACAATTTTCTGTAGAATTACAGGAACCAATTTCCATAGCCTCTGTTACTAACACGACACGTACATTTATATATATCTGAAATGTGTGCATACATTTGCATACTTTTCTATGTGCATGCGTGCATATCCTGCTGCTGGCCCTTTGGGCACTCAGAGTAAACTTGGCTATTACAATTTAATTTTCTCTTCAACAGACATTATTTGGATTGCAAAGATCGCAAGGAGATGTTTAAACAACACTTGATTCTGGAATTGGAAAAAAGCCCCTCATGTGTTCACTTTATTAATGATTACTCCTACCACATCTGCCTTCCTAACTCTTAAAGGTCTTATCGAGGGATAACCACGGTGGGACATTTCAAAGCATGTGTGTAGGTGGAGAACATGTGTCTCTTTGAAAGGCACATGCTTTGCACAACTCACGGACACATTTCTGAAAGCAGTGCGACAGATGTTTCACAGATGAGTGACTATGGCATGTAGATAGATGCTTAGTAAGTCTTGTTTTTAAAGAAGAGTTTTGGTTTGAGTTGGTGGATGCCTTGCAGAGCTTAGTTTGGTTAAAAGGGGAGGTTCTGAAAGCATCTGAGAGCCACTGCTTGATGCCATCACTTAAAACACGGTGGTTGCTGCTTCACTTCTGCCATGCTAAGTGAGAGCCCATTTGTTGCTTTATGCACTCTTTGTTTTATGATTGCACCTGTGTTTCCAGTCCTGCAGTAAGACCTCATGATATCAAACCTTGTGCAACCACAGAGCAAAAGTATTTTCCTTCAGAGACTTCACTCCCTAGCAGTGAGACAAAAATGGGTGTAGGGGAGGAAGTGAGCACGTGATGAAGTCAGGTAGTAATGTGAGTGCTGGTTTCAGCATCAGCATGATGGCTTTTTGGGGGGACGGTATTTTTAGTACACGTCAGAGTTGGGGTGTTTTTCAAAGAATTTGAAATCATTGAAATATCTGTTGGTGTTCATGAAGAGCATCTGAGAGACATAAGGGCATAGGAGGAAACATGAAGATGTTTTTCTAAAACTGACAAATAGGTAGAAAAGGTGGCTCAGTCAGAGGTGAGCAATGATGGGAAGAAAGGAGAGATACCATCGAGGGCCTGGAAACAGAGCTGGCCTGTGCTGGAGCAGAGATGGAGCCAGGGAAGGCTCGTGAAGAGATGGTGCCACTGTCCAATGAGAAGCTGCTGGAATTCACAATACTGACCAAATTAATCTGCAGGAAATTTCTGAAGGATGAATGTTAAACTGCTGGAAGAGTAAGTTGACCAGCACATTGGTGAACGTGTTTGCTATGTGAATTGATAGCCTTTTTCTACGTATTCTCCTAAAAGAACCTTCAAATGGTGCACTGAAGCTGTGGGACTAACGAGAGAAAAGTGGAAATAAAACATCACGTGTGAATTGGAGCTGTAATGTGATGTCCACTGTCACTGAGGTAATGGGGAGAAGAAAGAAGCCCTTGACAGCAATGCTCAGCTTGAACTGAAAGCTAGAGTTTGCAGGGAGATGCCGGAAGGCAAGATCTAGATTGTAGTAAGGAAAGACCAGTTTTACTGTGTGCATTGTTTGAAATCAGAACCAAGTGCAGGAGTACGTGTGAAAACTCACCTGTGAAGGAAAGCTTCTTGATTAAACGTATGTAATCAGAAATTCAATTTTATCTGGATTTATCTAGCAGAAGTGGCTCCACTTTCCTGGATATCTTTGTTTGGGAGTATCACATTTTAGATCTCCTTTGGCTCATGCAGTGAATTCATTACTCAGACATACATTTGATGGGAAGTGCCACGCTAAGTACCACGTGCCATGGGGATGGTGTGATATTTAACCTGTTGACAAAATACACGACGTGTTCGTCACCTGGCTTTGCGTTTAAAGCTGAGCCACTGACCATTGTGTAGAAGCTCAGGAAATATTTGAACACAAGATCAATGCTGCTTCTTAAAACCGCACTGCAAAGGCTGTTTGCCTTGCTCGCCGCTAGCCCTGGGTTTATCCCCCAGCTCTCTCAGGGGTCACACACTATGACTTGGCTTTACAACAGCAAGCGTAGCCTGTGTCTGAGAGTGCCTTCTCGTCAATTAGACATCGCAGCTCGTAGATATTTTTAGATTCAAAAATTTGACACAGACATAGGAATAAGAGATACATGAATAACAACTTGTCAGTTGTCATTAAGGAAACAATTGTCCTCTGTTGGAGAGGGCAATGCGGTTATTGCCACATTATCAGCACATAGCGCTGCAATTTGGCTGCAAAAAGAAATAATAAATAAGGGAGGAACAAAGAAGTGAAGGCAAAAAAAAAAGGGAAGGAAGGAAGGAGATGAAGCCTGCTTCCAGCTGACAGTTTTGTGCCTTCCATGCACTTAAAAATAAAATTTAACTTGCAGTGGTATTGCTTATATAGCTTTCCTGAGGCTCTTGCATTTTTAGCTAAATACAGTCAAGGCAGGATCCAGCTTGCAGATTAGGATTTGTAGACTGATACATCTGCATTAAGTTGTCTGCCTATGAACCTGGTGTTTAAGCTCCCATACTTATGTGAATAGACACAGTTAATTCAGTCGATGAAACCCAGAGAGCTTTTCAGCTTATTCCAAAGCAGGTACCTCCACTGACCACCTGCATAGCTCCTGGAGCTCCCTGAAAAGAGGTGTCTGATGCTGTCCAGGATTTCCTGCGGTATCAGAGACTTCTGCGCTGAGCCAGCCCATGTAAAACAGGACTTAGAGGGGACATATACCATTCTGGTCAAGCCAGGTATCATAGTCCACAACATCCGAAAAGGTGTTTAGGCTCCTGAGCCCTGGCCTAGGTCTCTGTTTTTCACAGTGGGAGCTTAGCTTAAGCACCTTCTTGTAGACACCTAAATATAGGTGTCTTAATCTGCAGACTGAATCCCACATTAGCAGCATGAGATAAATGAACTAATGCCTGTATTAAGAACGTGGCTGTTTGCTCCAGTACACCTGGTGATGCTTCTGTGTGATGTGATGAGCATAAAGCACTGATTTCTCAGCCTTTTATAGAAAATAACTGTGTTCCAGGCATATATATCTTGCTAAAATGATTCGTGACTTGTAACAAGTCAGTCATTAGTGCTAATGAATGCTTACCTGTGAAGTCCTGCTGTAGCTGCCAGACTGGGGTAGACTGGCGTTATTAAGAATGATGCCAGTTTGACAGTGCCTGTGATTGTGGCTGTGCGCTGGGCACTGTCCTTTCTTTTGTGAAAGCCATTCGTTGCTCTGCCGCCTCCTTAAATTTAGGAATCGATCCAAGTATGGATTCTCAAAGCCCATTACGCCACCGCTTCCACCAATTCCCAGATGCGTCTGGGCGAAGCTGCACTTGAGCAAGCATTAGCACTTAACTCAGAGACCCTGTGTGCTGGCTGTGAAAGCTATCCATTTTTGGGGTTTAGTTATGTTCAGAAGTTGAACGGAAAAAAAAAAAGATGCTTGTTACTGCACTATTTTGCTGAAGCCTTCGTGGAGGTGAACAGTTCTGCTGTTAACACTGCTTCGCTATTTATGGCAGCACTTCACTGATTTCATGGTATTCATTATTCTGTACGGCTTTTACTCCTACCCATTGCTCAGCAATGGCAGGGTGTAGGTTTTTGCTATTGTGTACTTTGTCTCACACCCCTTGGTGCTGTGCAGGGGAGCGGGTGCTCAGGAAGTGAAGGGGTGACTCCAGGCGGTGCCGGCTGATTCCTGCGCTTGCCCCTTTGGTAAGGAACCGTGATGGGGTTTCTTGCACTCGCCAACGTGGGTGGTGCTTTGCGTTTTCTCACGTTAAAGAAACTCGGTACCAAGAGAGGTGTCCCCACAGATGATGATGGAGAGCTTCTCCTCTGTATTTTAGTGCAGAGTTTTCTTACTCCTGTAAACCAGTGCTATGAGTGAGCCAAGTTCACACCTCCTGCTCCGTACCTGGGTAGATGCTTATTCATATTTATGGGAAAGCGGGAAGTCAAGCCACCAAATGATCCCCTGACCTCATGAAAGCAGAAGATATTTTGATATTCTCATTTAGATTTCTGTGGCCTTGAAAGACTGCTAGTGTAGGGTGTTGGGTCTCTCCCTTTCCTAACTGTGTGAAGAAACCCCATGTTAGCCATGGGGTCAGAACAGACCGACTTAAAAGATCAAACACATGTACAAAGTAAGAGGGAGGCAAAGTAATTAAAGTGCCTCCATTTTAAGATTATATGAGAGATTCCTGTATCTGTAGTAACAACAAGGAGCTGCATAATCTCTGTAGTAAACCGGCATAGAGACCCTTTGCAGTGCTAGGGGGGTGTCATGGGGGGCAGTGCTGCCTGGCCAGCTGGGCGTCCTGCTGCTCTTCAGCAAGTGTCTGAGGTTACCTTATGTGCACTGCCTTTTTTACGCCTTGAAGAAGGGCTTTGTGACTGCCCACAGCTGCCAGAGAAGAGACTGAGACCCCTGAGGTGTCTCATAACCACATGGCCAGGAGGAAACCACAGGCTTGAATGTATTTTGGCTGAGCAGTTCTTAGATCTACCTGAAAGGTCTCCTATAGCAGCTGCACACCTCTCAAACTGATGCCTTTCCTCACAATTTAATTTCCCTTTAGTGTTCCTGAAGCCCACGGCATGTGATTTTGTTGAAGGATGCATTTAATCCCCTTTTCCTGTGTGATCATGATGTACTTCAGTAGCAACACCTGAGTTAATTTTGTTTGTTCTCCACATGCCATTGCCCTACACAAGTCATTTGTCATGGGAAGCTGTGGCACTGCTTTCTCCACAAAACCTCTGCCCCACTCAGCAATTTTAGGTGCACAATTTTTGGGTGTGGGTTTTTTTAGGACTTTTGTAAATATATGTGATTTCCAGAAAGTATTTCATTCCTGGCAATATGGGTAGGGATTGAGATGAATAATGGTGGTCAGCATCTCATACAGACCGAAACATAATTTTTTGAAAATTTTCAGTTAAAATTAATTTTATTGTTAACTTTATATTGCTGGTTCTCAGGGTGACCCAGTAAAGAAAGAAAAACTCTAAATATACGAATGAGGATAAAATATTTCTTCTGATTATTTCAATGATTCAGAAGTTCCGTTCACCTGCCTTAAAGAAATAAAGGCTGGAGGGCAAGTGAAACTGCTCAGTGCTGTAGTGTGGAGACACAGCAGTTAAATGAAGACATTTTATTTGATTTAGGAGTATGAATTATTAATCACAATCTGAGTAGAAGGAGATTTATGGATTCACTCTGTCTTTTATGAGCCTATGAGATTTTATTCTGAGTATGGTTTTTAGCCAACCAACCACTTCTCTCCAAAATCAAAACAGACTTGACATTGCTGATACTCCAGAGATTTAAGAGAGAAGCTGTATTTCGAGTTCAGTTTGTTTCCACAAAGAAATAAGCATACAGTGCCAATTTTTTTTAAAACATGCTTTTTAAAGAGTCCATTGAATCGTAACTGAGAGTGAAATCAATGCAGTATTTTTGGTTGGTTATTCTACCTAGAAATTATTTTTCACACAAACGTAAACTCTTATCCCTCTCCAATCAGCAGACATTAGATAGTTCAGAAATAGTAGTGGAGCGTTTTGGCATTAAGTTTTGATTGAAAAATATGAACATATTTCCAGGCATTGTTTTGTTGAATCCAATTTCAACTTATTAGTCATCCTATTATTAATAATTTAATTAAGAATTTTTAACAGACCTTTCCTACCATCAACCCTAAGTGCAAGAGGCCAGATTGACTTCTGTCCTTACTGTTACACAGGAAAGAATTAATTTAACTTCTGTAGGTACTCTTGGCTTTTTGCCCCGGTGCGTCGCAGTGCCTAAGGCTCTGTGCCCTTTCACTGGAAGCTGGATGCATCTCTGCTGGGTTTGTCTGCTCAGGTTTGCCTCTGGAAGAGGGCAGGGTCACATATTATGCCACCGTTACAGATGCAGGTTTGCTTTCTTTTCCTATTGTTTGTTTGAATTTTCCTGCTTAGGTAGTTTCCTTTGCCTTTCCCTGGAAGTTGTCAAGGCGCAGTCATTTCTAGAAGTGTTTATATACAACGCTGCTGTTGTACCACTGCTGTCATTGGAAGAGCCTTCAAGAAGATACCTACTTTTTTAATAAAGCAAATTCACTATGAGAAGGGATGAATACAAGGTTTGAATCTTAAATACTGGAAGTTTAGGTCCGGCATACTGAGATGCTGCAGGTATATCTATTTCAGGGCTGAGTTATTTTTGTTGTTTTGCTGGAACAAATTACTATTTTGAGCCTGGTTTGGTGCAGTTCTTGTTTACTTTCTGGCCCTTAGTAGCTGAAAACGCGTCCAGATATTAATATAGTTCCCTTCCCACAGGGTATCTGGTTTCCATAGGTTAGTGTTGTGTTGTCTCCAGCTGATATCATCCAACCGCAGGAGACTTTAGATAATATGCACTGGCTAAGTCTTCTTGGGAACTGTTTTTAACCAATTTGCAGGAAAGCTTTGAGATCCATTGCAATGATGTCCACCTTTATTAGCACATTAAAATATTTCCCGAGTACTACTTTATAAAAAGTTACCTGTTTGGGGAAAAAATAATCACCAGTCTTACTGTCTGCATGCTCTTCTTATGTAGTCTGTGATCCCGGAAACGCTTTGTCTTAGAGAGAGCCAGGAAAACGACCACACCAGAAAAGCTGACCAGAGGCAAGTGCTGTGTAACCAATTGCCAGGACATGGTTTAGCCACTGAATGTTCATTTTCTACTTCTGGTGTAGGCTGATCTCCTCCTCACTATTGAGCTTCTGGAATTCAATCAGAATGAGCTGGTTTTCGTTTGTTTTTTCATTAATGCAGGGGTGGACCAGGCATTACCACAAGAACGTCGAACTCCTGTTACTCCGTCCTCTTCCTCTCGGTATCACCGTCGCAGGTCCTCAGGGTCACGGGATGAGCGCTATAGATCGGGTGAGTAGAACTGAAGGCCGCAGAATTGGAAAGAAGACTTGAAATGTCTGCTTTTGTTCTTTGCTTTTTTCTTAAGAATTTTGTTGTAAACTCATATAATAGCCATGCATGGGAAATGTTTGTTGTACGACTACAGAGACGCTGTCCAAGCATACAGGAGTGAAGTTACAAAGCCAAAGTCAATCTGGAATTGAATCTGGCAGTAAATGTGAAGGGTAACAAGAAGGGATTCTGCAGGCACATCAGCAGTGAAAGGAAGACATGGGGAAATGTGGACCCACTGCTGAATGGGGCAGGGGAGCAGGTGACAATGGGCATGGAAAAGGCCAAGATACTTCACGCCTTCTTTGCCTTGGTCTTTGCTAGTGGGACTTGCATTCGGGAATCCAAGGCCCCTGAGACCAGTGGGAAAGTCTTGAGCAATGAAAACCTCCTCTCTGTGAAGGAGGAGACGGACAGGGCCCTGCTTTGAGCAGGGAGTTGGACTGGATGATCTCCAGAGGGTCCTGCTGACCTCCACCGGTCTGCGGTTGTGTGGCACAGCTGGATTTTATTGTGCTGATTCTAGTTTAGTGAATACCATAGGAAAAATATTTAATTTGAAGTATAGCAAGTAGGGAACATCATTACGCCCTAAATAGAAGCACCGATTAAGAGAAGATAAAATTAATTTCAGAGTTGAACAAAAAGGGTAAGTTCTCATTTCCAAATGAGTGTGATTCAAGTCTGTTCACGATGCTGCTCCATATGTAACAAAGCGAAGGAAGTGATTGGTTTATAAGTGAAGAAAAGTGAGCTCTGAATCTTCTTTACTCTTACCTTTGAAGGTGTAAACTGCTTGTACTACACCTTAACTGGATGAAGGGTAGGTGTGGTCAGCTGTTGTTTCAACTGCTACAGGGACTGCTGCAGCATGGGCAGAGGACAGCCAGAGGCTGCAGGCTGGTGTATCTGCTGCTGCTCTTGCAGCTGCAGAATGAGGGAGCATAGACAGCAGTACCCATCAGCTGCTGTGGCAGAGACACCCCTGCAGCTGGGAGTCAGGAGTTGTGGAGGGCAACAAGAAGCCAACTGGGGAAGTTCTGGGTTGTGTTTGAGAGATGCATCCTCCTGGGTGCAGTCAGACTCATTGCGCTGACAGAGCAGAGAACTATAGAGAATTCCTTGTTAAAGGAGTTAAATGTCTTTTGTAACGTATCTCTGGTTCATTCCATCAGTCAGAGAGCTTGCCAGTCCCATTTAAAAGAAAATGAAATGATTAAATGTTGGCAAAGAAAGTTCATGTATATCCAGACTATTCTGATAAATTTGAAAAACTCCCCTCTCCTTTCAGAAACCTTGGCTTCACACTGTAGATGCTGCCAGTTTTTTGTTGAATAATGGTTGTGGGATCTGCGTAATTCCTTGATATGTAAGTTCCTAGAAGTTTCTCCCACAGTACACTAAAAATCTTCTGATTTCTACCCGGTATTTTTAAACAGGTAAAAATACTATTCCTGAAATGGTCTAGTTGGTGGGTGGGCAACCCATGGTCCTCAAATGTCCAAGCTGCGACTCTTCAGAGCAGTTCTGTTAAAAACATGTGTGTTTGTGCATTGAAAGTCGTCTGCTTGAGCTATGCTTGCCATTTGTAAATCAAGATGTTGAGTCAGTTTGGGGATGGACGAAAGGAAACATCCTACACATCTTCCCTGCTTGCCTCTCCTGATACCCCAGGAGTGCTCGAGTTGGTGGTGTTGCTTCTTGGTTCCAGTTGCTGCCTGAAAAGGAGAGTGAAATGTGTTGTAATGATAGATTGAGATAATGAAGACACAAACTATGTTGCCGAGAGGAAAAGTAAGAAATTGAGTGCAAAGGGTTGCTTGTTGTTAGTGCAGGAGTCTCATCTTAGGAGAGTCAAGACTGTGGTGTAAATTCAAAGCCTTTTTGCTGCTCTGAAAATGTCCCTGGTGTTCATGCTGGAAAGCTTGACAGCATTTTGGGGGCTTACGGCAGGGCTTTGAATTCCTGCCTTGATTGCTGTACAGCACGACTGCTCAGCACATCGCCGAGCTCTCCAACAAATTGGTCTGAACAGCTACCGCATCTTCACTCACTCAAAAGAAGACTGTGTGTAGCAGATGTCAGTGAAGGCAGGTGTCAACTTCCATGTCAATTTGGAAGAGGTATCAGATATCTTCTTTAGATTCAGTTTCAGAGGAGCTTTGCGAATATTCAGTGCAATGTTCCTATCCTGAATTACGTTCTCCCCTTCCATACATGGCCCTGTGCGAACAGAAGTCTCTTTCTTTCTTGGTCCCATGGCTCATTCTCGCTATTACTGCAGGTTACAAACTTGCAAATCAGATTTCTTTCTGCTTATCTTGTCTTCAAATTCAGAAATGCTTCAGGTAGAAGTCTTTGTTTCGCTTGTCGTTGTGCTGTACATAATACTTCAGCATCTCCACTCTGACCGTACCGTGATTATTAGATCCTAGCTGTTAGCCGGCTTCAGTGCTTGTTGTCGTGTTTGGCACATCTTCTTGGAAAAGGCCCAGACTAAAATGAATGCAGTCTTTAACCGATAAGTAATTCACTTCTAGGAAAACATTTCCCTTCCTTGGTTTTTTTGCACAATTTATTTCAATTAGCATCTGCAAACAAATCCTCTCTTCTACCTCTGATCAAAGTCCATTTCTGTCCCTTGTTGGTAAGGTTTTTCTAACTGGAAGTCAAACATCCCGAAAGTCATCCAACTCTCTTCCATGCCTTTGCCTTTTACATAAATATAGATGTCAGTGGAGGTTGTTTAATGAACTCTCTTTGGAGACTCAAAATCATCGCTGCCACGAATACCACCTTCAACTTGCGCTCTTTTATTATGGAAAATGTCAGACTGTGACATTTTAAATATCTACCTATTTTCTCACTTCAGTCTTTTTTATTATTATTTTTCATTAATATTGTAACAGAATTGTTCAGCACTATAATTTTGAAAACCTGTTTTCTATGATTTTTATGTTCTAAATAAAATTGACTCTGAGTTTATGGAAGCTGTTTTTTTTATTAAATGTTCCTGGTACATTTTGTGGTTTGAGATAATTTGATTTTAGAATTCAGCCTACATTGGAAATTTAGTCTAATTCTGTAAAACCAGAAAGGTTTAATATTTCCTGGCTGCTTCTTTTTATACAGGAAGGGATCCTCAAATCATTATGTTCCAAAATGTCAGCTGCTTTGGTCATTTTTCGGATATTTAAAGAAATAGATAATACTGTAAGTGTAGTAACTGCATCAGTGCAAGGTTAAGCTGTAGTACTGACTTTATACAAATGTGGCAGCCAGTTTAGCTGATACTAATTCAGAAGCATTTTTTATTTGTTTACTATTTAATATAAAAATTATCTTAGTATTTACTCACTTAGAAACAGTATTTGGAAACCTTTGCCAAATGTAGATCACGGCAATGCTTTTCTCTTAGCAGCTGCTCTTCCTTAGCCTGTGCCTGTCCTATAACATTATCTGAGGGCTCAAGAAGACACGGAAGCCAAATGTTCCCCTAGGCTGGATCAGTAGCTTTTGCCAAAAGGCTTTTATGGCCAGTGACTTTTCGGGCAAGAAAACCCAGTCAAAGGGGAACTGGCTTGCACTTCACTTCTGCCTCTGCGTGCACAAGAGATGTCAGCATCGGGCTTGATCTGGCTCAAGTGATGCAACTGCAACATCAGACACAGGCTTGAGTATGAAGTTAGCAATGGTCATGTAGATGTAGTCGCAGTTGAACACACAGCTTTGGTTCCTTAGCGCAGTTCAGAGCTTGGGTTTCTCACCTACTTTTGGAAGCTGCAAATCCATGGATTTTGTATGATGTGGTGAGATAAGGAGAGAGGAATTACGTGGTGGAGTAAGCAAATAGGTAACCTGAATGACTTAACTTTGACATCCTTATCACGCTGTCTAAGTGAACCAATGCAGTCAAATATTGAGCTTTTCGGAGGATGTTTGCCCTGCATGTCTTTACAGTCACTAGGGACTTGTTTGCTCACTGGTTAGCAGTGGCTACATTCTGCTTCTGCTAACACTGAAATCCCTTGTAGAAGGACTTGAAGCATCTGCCACCATTATTTAAAATACCTTTCTATAGGCTGTCATGCTTTTGGAAGAACGTTCTTACTGATTTGGTGCTTAAAATGGTGCTCTGTAACCTCTGCACACTGTAGCACTGCAGTAATAGTGCTGCTGGAGTTTGGCCCTTGCCTGTGGCTGGCTGCTCTGGTGGCCTGAAGCAGAGCTGGGCTCTGCTGCCACATCAAGGCTGCAGCGCAGTACAGCAGCATCTGCTGTGGTGGCCGTTCCTAAGGAAATACCCCATGGGTAAACTGGTCAGATCCTCATGACCAGAAATTGTTTTCTTGATCAGAATAAATCTCCCCTAAATCTGCATTTTTCAGCCAGTCATGGCCTGCGTGGTTCAGAGAGCAGCTCTTCTTCAGAGACCTTCAGCACCTGCTTTAGCTCCTCTCCAGAGAAGAAGTGTGTTATCCTCCCTCAGCTGGGTGTTCAACACATGGAGAAGTGAAACGTCGGATCCTTACCAACCTCATTTTTTCCAAAGGGACATCCCTGTGGCCTCCAGATGATACCAAGACAAAAAGTTCTCCATCCCAATGCTGAAAACCATGGCGCCTTCTCATGTGCCAGACCCTGGCTTTTACTGTTTCCGCAGTTCCTGTCAATAAAAAATAGGGATGACATAATTACACAAAAAATATGCAGCAATAAAAATGAAAAACTAAAAAAATTCAACGTTAAATGATAGCGAATGCGGTGCAATATGTTCAAATGCATGTGTGCGTGTTGGGAATGAGATCGCGGCTCTTGGCTTCATAATTTCTGCTGCAGAGTTCTCTGATGAGGTGGGGATATGACAGATGGATTGGGCCCAGTTTATTAAGTCCCTTGTTTCTTATGAGGTCTCTAAGAGGCCTTGAGGATGACCAGTGTTTTGCACCGCCTGGAGC